AGTGTATAGATCATGCCTCTCAGGTTTTACTGCTCAATGCACTGCATTTAGGAGTTAAATCACTTTGTTTCTGTTTATGCAGCCCTTGTCACACCTCCCCTGGCTATGATTGACACAGCCTAAATTAAACAGAACTTGCAATAAAGGAAGGACAAACTTTAGATGACTCTTTACAGGAAGTGTTTAGGAAGGCTGTGCAAGTCACATGCAGAGGTGTGACTAGGGTTCATAAACAAAGTGATTTAACTCCTAAATGGCAGAGAATTGAGCAGTGAGGCTGCAGGGGAATGTTCAATACACCAAAACTGCTTCATTAAGCTAAAGTTATTTTGGTTACTTAAATTGTATGCCTTTTCCAGCAGGCACATGGTAGCCTCCTACATTGGAAGCTTCTCAAACTCCTCTGAAGAGTTATCTGTGGATGCTGTGGAGGATTTGCCTCCTGCCCAGCCATAACTAATTAGTCTGCCACAGACAGCGTATTCCTTGCCAGTAATGGAAGCTGTATTAAAACACTGCTAGCTGATTTACATAAAACTATAATGGTCGATGTTGTGGCACCTCAGACGGATCTCACAGGCCTAATGGGATGACTCAGTGCAATGGAGAACATTACGAGGACACCCTCTTCACGTCTCTTGGCCCAGGAGGTGCAGCACACTCAAAGCCTTTGCTACGTTTTAAAATACATGCCAAAGTTGTGACTGCAGAATTACTGCACTTTCTGAGATTCATTGTCTTTTCATCATCTAGAAAGGCTAAAAACATGCAATGAATGTATTTTATATATAGAACTGACATTAGGTCATCTGTGACAGAGTTCTGGGCTGCCTAAGTCATGTGTGCCTGGGGTGTAACTAGCCCCCAACACATAAGTGCAGATTACTCTGTCCTTGCAGAGTTTCAAACAGAAATGCTGTCTATACATACTCTTCCCACCATGACCATTTCAAATCACCAAAGTGTTCATGGTCGTTGGAGTAACCCTTTAAGAAGGGGAAATACTCCCAGTAAGGAGGGGGAATACTCCCAGTAAGGAGAGTTTTAGGGTTGGAGTCCTTGTTAACCTCTTAGTTGGAGCTGGGGGCAAAGAACCAACAAATAAAAATAAAATATCCTGTCTGGGGTTAGACAGGACTTTTTATTTTTATTTGTTGGTTTTTTTATGTGGAAACCTTATGTGGATTTATTTTGCACTTTTTTGCATTAAACTTTTGCAAAAATTAAAGTTTATAAAAATAATAAAACAAATAAATTAAAACAATAAGAAAGTAAAGCATTAAAATAAATTTTAAAATACTTAAAACTAACTCACCACATCGGAAGACTCCAGGTGTTCCAGACAGGTGGCCATACATCTCGAACGCAGCACCTATCTAGCATGGACCCGACCGATGTACGGACAGCAACTGGAATCTGCCATGGGGCCAGTGACACACCTGAAAGGACTGACTCCTGTTATGCACTGGGCTATGAAACTCCCAACGGACTTACCCGACTGACACACGATGTTCCCACACCTCTACTCAAGCAGGCCTCTGGGCCTACTGCCGGGATTCCGGTGGAGTGTCTACACACAGCCAAGGCAGGGCATGGGCTGATCTCACAATGGAGTCCAAGAACACCTACTAATGGCACCATGTCTTGGAGCACTGTATATTGATGTCACATAACACATCTTGTTCATTTCTCCCACTGGCTTAAGTCTCTGTCCTACCTGGGGGGCCTTCTCAATCGTTTTACACTCTACTATTACTATGACCTTACGTTTATTATCTTGATTTGATCCACTCTGCTTTATTCTTTACTTACCAAAAAAAAAAGTGCAGTTATGCTGACTAACAAGTGCTATGATAACTTTACCTTATAATGTCTTCCTGTAATGCCATGCGCGATGCTATTTTGTTTTAACAATGCACAACTCTATATGCCAGTGTTATAATAAGGATAACATAAAATTGCACAATAAGTATAATTATATGAGAGGGGTGAATAAAGTAGGCAATTATTTAAATGTAAGCATAGAAACTGCTCAGCATTAGCGTTGAGAAAGGAGGAGGTCCAGGGATAGAAAAATATGAACTTGTTAGCTCAAACAGAAGAAAAAAAAAAACCAAGAGAAATGCAAAGTACTATCTACACAGTCTTAGTCATTAGGAGTAGTCAAGGCCTTGTCACAGCCCGTTGTTTGGGATAAAAGGTTTCACTTTGTTAACATCCCAGTGATGTGTCGTTCGTGTAGATTGTTGATTCGGGCTGCCTATGTACAGGCCGTATGCTTGGATGAAGGTTTGTGACTCTGCAATATCGTTTAGCTTATTCTTCCCATGAGGGTGTTGTCACGGTGCCCGATCTGCACCTCAATGTGACCGCACCTGATCTGTGTGGTCATGCCGTCACAGTGCCCGATCAGCACCGCGATGTGACCTCATCTGATCAGTGCGGTCACACTAAAAGAAGGAAAGGTTACTTACCTTGCCTCCAACGACTCCCCCTCTGCACAGCTCTGAGGACAGCAGCTGGGTCCAGCATTAAGAAGGAGCCAGAAACAGAAACAAAAACCCCCTATTGTAGCTGCCAAACCTAAACTTATGTAATTAGGGGTTATGAGGTTTTCTGAAGCAGAACGACAGTTCAGGAGGAGGGAGGGTCTGTGTATATATTGTAGCAAGAAGGGACATGTGAGGGTTAATTGCCCGATACGTCGGGAAAACGCACGCATCTAAAGTGTTATGTATATGTCCGCCACTATGCCTCTTTCGAGATGTCTCATTTCTGTTACCATTCTGTTACAAAACCTTGAGGTCAATTGCAAAGCCCTATTAGATTCAGGAGCAGTAGAAAGCTTCATAGATGTTCACTTTGTGTTCACACATAATATACCTCTAAGGGAGAGGGCAACACCCTTGGCTGTTGAGGTCATAGATGGTAGACCTCTTGGGAAACCACTCATTACCCATGAGACCTTACCTGTTTCATTGCAAGTAGGGGCTTTGCATAGGGAACAGATCACTTTTCAGGTTATCGCCTCACCCTATTGTCCTGTTGTACTTGGTTTTCCATGGCTAATAAAACATGATCCACGTATAGATTGGAGAAAAGGGGAGATACTAAAGTGGGGTGATGAGTGTAGTAACAGATGTTTAAAGCCTATAACCAAACAATTGGGTATAATCAATGTCCCTGTTGCCTCTCCATTGTCCACTACAGTACCCTCCCAATATGAGACGGTAAAGGAGGTGTTTAACATGATACATGCAGATACAGTTTTTCCACATAGATCCTATGATTGTTCTATAGATCTATTTGCCAGTTACAATACCCCCAAAAGGGTGAGTTTATACACCGTCTTCCCTGGAAAGTAAAATAATGGAGGAATATATACAGGATGCGTTGACTAAAGGTGACATATGCAAATCATCTTCCCCAGCAGGAGCAGGGTTTTTATTTGTATCTAAAAAAAGAGGGTGATCTGCGTCCTTGTATTGATTACAGGTCGCTCAATAAAAACACTATAAGAAGCGCTTACCCTATACCACGTATTTCTAAACTGTTTGACAGGTTAAATGGACACTATAGTCACCAGTGCAACTACATGTATTCCTGGCACTATAGTGTTAACACGACCATCTAGCCCCCGTGGGCCCGTCATGCCTCCATAAATATAGTAAAAATCTTACTGTATTCAAGCCTGAAGCTGTAAATCTGCTTGCTGTTAGACTCAGGAAAAACAAGCAGTCTGCTGACATGTGAAAGCCTGATCCAATCACAATGCTTCCCCATAGGATTGGTTGAGACTGACAAAGAGGCAGATCAGGGGTAGAGCCAGCATGATTCAAACACAGCCCTGGCCAATCAGCATCTCCTCATAGAGATGAATTGAATCAATGAATCTCTATGAGGAAAGTTCAGTGTCTGCATGCAGAGGGAGGAGATACTGAATCACAGGATGCTGTACACAGTGCTGCCCTGTGCTCTGCTGACAGCAGATCTGAGTGGATGGAGGCATATTATGCCTCCATCAACTCCCTCTGGTTCACTCTGAGTGACTGCAGGTGTCCCTAGCTTTCAATGTAAACACTGTATTTTCTCAGCTATAGTTCTCACCTGAACAACCTCATTAAGCTGAAGTTGTTCAGGTGACTATCGTGTCCCTTTAAGGGCTAGGTTATTCACTAAACTGGATTTAAGGAGTGCTTATAATCTAGTTAGAATCAAGGAAGGGCATGAATGGATAATTTAATACCAGTAATGGGCATTACGAATACCTAGTCACGCCTTCTGGGTTATGTAATGCCCCCGCTGTTTTCCAGGATTCTGGCACCATAACAACTTCATTTAGATCAAGTTATTTTGGTGCCTGGGGTATTCCTTTAATTGTAAATTGTCACCCAATCAATTTAAAATATTAGATCACATTATCCAATCTGGAAAAATTCAGCAGCTCAGCCTCAGTGTGTGAGCCCCTTGTAATGCCTGCCCGTTGAGCAGTGTGCCCAGCTGCAGACACTTTGAGTTGCCCCCAGTCTGTTGTGAGGGACAGAGCACATTGCCGGCACTCACAGTGCTCGTGGCCTCTGCTGCCACATAAACAGATTATCACTCAAACTCAGGGCTGCAGCTTCTGCAAAGGTTTAGACATGTAGCAACGCCCCCAAGGGCATCCAAACCACGCCCACACGGCCAGCCCCGCCCATACTGTATCTCTCACTGCTTTGTTGAACACCGTCACTCTGCCCTCTCCCCCGTGACGTCTCTCTCTGTTCCCGGAAGTGACGTCACGGCCGGATGGCAGCCCCTGATACGGTGGGCCCGGAGTCTGGCAGCGGGTGACAGCAGGACAACATGGGGGAGGCCAGAATCGGAAAGCGGTGACCCGAGAGTGGGTAACACCCCCTGGGAGTGGGCGCGCTGGGTGTGTGCACCATGTCTGCCGTGCTAACCCCTGTGTGTGTGTACCATGTGACAGTCTATGGGCGATATGTGTACAATCTGTTATAGTGTGAGTGTACTCTGTATTGTGTGAGTGTGTGCACTCTGTATTGTGTGTGTGAGCACATGTATTGTGTGCAGGCAGTCTGTGGGTGTAGACATGTGACATAATATGGGTGTTGTGTGTTTTGTAGTGTGTGCACATGTATTGTGTGTGTCTGTGTGTCTGTGTGGGTGTAGACATGTGATGTGTTTGTCTGAAACCTGCCCCTGTCAAGGTCTGTGTACACCAGGAAACTACAAGCTGGACACAAGCCATTGGCATTGCTTTATATAATGCATATAGGATTTATCAGTCTAGTTGTAATATATTAAAGCAATTTAATGACACACTATTAGGCTAGTACTTCCCAAGTTGCAGTATCTATCAGCTGAGCCTATCCTGTAAACTGTGCTTTATGTACACCGCAAGTAGTTTGTCAGTTTTGTGTCATCATATGCCCTGTACAGTGATATTTTTTTTGATTGGGGGGGGGGGGAGGTGAAACAAGGAAATTAGTTATAGAGGAAGGTAATAAAATGGGCTTATAGAGCAAAACAAACTTTTTTATTAAAAAAAAAAAATAAAGATTAATGAAACAAATATAAATAAATCGACATTAAACTTACCCAATGTGAAGATGATTGGAGTGCACCTTTAATCTGCACCTTGCACTTGAGAAATCCGTTCTGTCATACAACCATTCATTTTGGAAACAGAAGCATGTGCAATTTATGACATATTTTTGTATCCCTAAACATAGCTTTGAAGTATCACTTCACCTAATACTTTGTTTTTCCTTTTTTTCATTTAATGGTGCAATGTAGATGATGCAACATGACACTATATAATTTTTGTACAACAGGTGAACTATAGGTTTGTTGTGTGGAATCACTACTTTCAATTGTACTAACATATAATAAAAAATACTTAATAATAAAGTTGTTCTATATTATTTTTATTTTTTTTGAGCAAATGGATGTGTTGCATATTTTGGTTTTCTTTCTTCTCCATTTGCCTATTCGCTACAGTAAGTGGTCAACACTTCTTGATTGCACAATTAATGAAAAGTCAACTTCTCCTTCAATTTATCCAGAAACTCCGATGTTTCCAAATCTCACTTTGATTTGTGTGAACAAAAGACATTTAACATTGAATTATTAGCCTTTCAATAGTGAAGAAAAAGTTGTTCTGGTTATTCACTAAACTGTGAATTGCAAGTCCAAAGCCAGAATAGCTAAATATGGAAGATTATCTAATTACTCTATTATTCAAGTACTTTGCTTTTGGTTTTGTCCCTTATTAACCATCTAATTCTTTAAGTCCCAGTCACACATCTCTGTTCCTTTGAGTACGTTGACTTGCATACATATTTAATAACTTTCTACTTTTAGTTTGATAGCCAAAGTCCTGCAGAGAGGAATGCGTAAAGGGTTGCAAAGCATGACCACGTCCAGTGTCAGGCGACCAAAAGTACGTTACCAACCAGGAGGTGCCTCTATTGGCTAGCAATCAGAAACTAATAAAAAAAAAAATAATTGTGAGCCCTACAATTAAGACATTCGAATAAGGTAATTTTTTTTTAATTCTTTTTTACCATGGTACAGGCCAACAAGTGAGACTTAAAAATTGACCTCTACTGCAATAAAAAATAAAAAACCTGGTTGGATTTTTGCATCAGTTTTGGTGCAAACATGTTCTCTGTATCTTTTTCCTTACACACCCTCAATTATTGTCCATCTCCTTAATGACATACATTACAGTCGGAAGCTGTAATTTCTCCTTTGTGTATCTGAATGTACGTAAATATAAACAAAACCCTACCTTGCATATGTCACTCCTTCACTGCTGGAGGTTGCATGTCTAACTGCTCCTTTCACAAACTGGATAACTGTGCATTTGCTATCTGCTCAGGCACCACTTTTCTTCATATTGGACAATTAATATAATTGTGCCAAGTGTTACTTTATTTAAAATAAATATATTCTCTTTAAATTTAACAAATTCACCTGGACTAAACAGTGCATGCAAATGGAGCATTGGGCCTAGCTGTTTGGTCTTCACTCTCCAGTATCTT